TATGCCCCATCTGCTCCTGGGAGCTTTGCAGATCCTCTAGGTCTCCCTTTTCTCCCCCACCAGCCCTACTTCTTTCCTTTCTGTCTGGGAGATCAGTCATCGTGGGTGTCGACAGGCATGCACCCGACCCCCCTGGGAGGATGGGGAGCGTGAAGCTGGGGGTGGTGTTCTGCCTCGAGAAGGCAAAGCTGCCATCAGCAGGTGCTTTGATCTACAGACAATTACAGATAAGTGTAGGACTTCACTCCGCTCAGCCAATAAATAATGGAATTTGTGGGTTGACACAGACAGATTTCCCCCAAACTGTCAGAGAAGGGGAGACAGAGAGTGAGCGAACTGGAGCCAGAGCAGCTGGAGGGAGAGGACAGGCAGGGGGGAGGGATGAGGAGGGCCTGTGGGAAAACAAGGAGAGGAGGCAAGGGAAGAAAAAATGAACAAGTTGGGGAATCTGGGCAGGGAGGAGAAGCCTAAGTAACACATATTTGTAGAGGGGAAGGAAAATCAAGACAGGAACTGTGGGTGGGAAGTGGTGGGGGGAGAGTGCTGCATATGCAGCAGACTGGAAGCAGAAGGGAAAAAAAAAAATCTGAAGGTGGAAAAAAAAGAGAAGGAGGAACAAAGGCATGGCAGTGCCCCCAGGGCTCCCCGGCTGCCTGGCAGATCACACGCTTTCCAAGCAGGGACTGTATTCCTGCAGCCCCCGCAGAGTGGCCTTGACCACCGCCCCCTGCTCAGCCCAGTGAAGCTGGCGACTGGGAGGCATGTGTGAGTTGGTGAAATGGTGCCACTGGTGTGCAGCCAACAGCGGAAATTTGCTCTGAGATCACAACTGCCCGAAAAACCTCCTGCGGAAGCCCTGTCCCCACACGCCCCCACTCCTCCCTATCACCATCTCCCCCTCTCCCTGACCCTTCTCCAGCCCACAGCTGTTCGTTCTCTGGCTGATGATGTTTTTTTACTTTAACGACAACAAAGAAATACCTCCTCTTTGCTCAGGAGCACCACCACCAAGCCCAGCAGAAACCATCCATCCTTTCAGCAGCCCTCCAGCCCAATCTGGCTGCAGTAGCTGATCTGACAGGTATGGGGGGAATCACTGGGGCTGTCTCCTTCCTCCCAGTTCAGAGCACTCAAGGGCACCCTTACATCCCCTCTTGGCCCCATTTGTGGCTTGACCTGGCTCAGCCCTGAGTACTGAGTGTGCGGAGAGTGGCTTAACTTGCCAAGGTGTCCAGGCCAAGCACCACTTCGCTGTAGGTGTCCTCTGCTCCCTGCATGGCCCTTTTTGGAAAACAGGTGTCCAAGCTTCCCATCCAAGCTCCAGATGGGAAGCAAATACCTCCCAGCCCAGGGAACCCCTCCAAGTCTCTACCTTCTTCTACTCTAGCCTCCTATCCCTTCCTGCTCCCTTCTGCGGAAACACCAGCTCCAACTAGGGGTTGGACCTTTGCCCTTGCACAGATCAGGCTCTCCCCTGGCAACACCTTGTCCCACCAGCTGAGGAAAGCAGGACAGGTTACAGGTGGGGCCAAGGGTTGACTGATCAGGGTGTCACTTAGTAAACAGGGTGTCCATAGACCTGGGTGGGGGGGCAGAAATACTGGCTGCAGGGTTGTGTGGGATGGTGCCACAGCAGAAGGTGTTCTGATGGGGCATGGGAGACTCAGGAGCCTTGCAGCCCGTGCAGCCTGTCCCCAGCAGAGCAGGGGTTTGGTAATACATCCTCCTGGCACTGCCATATCAGGTAAAAAAGAAGCAGGAGGGGGGCTTTCCAGGGATATCACACACAGATGTTGTTTAGCTTAATGATGGCAAATGGCAAGAACAGCAGCCTAACTGGGGCAGCAGTAGCTTATGGCCTGAGCAGTGGGAGGACTGGAGTTCCTGCCAAGCTCCTAAACCTCTCTTTCAGGAGGGCAGGATGTAAAACTGGTGTAAATTGCTAAAAAGCTGGGTCTTTTTGGTAATAAAGTCACTGAAGCAGGTAATGATTCAGCTGGCCAAGGCAGAGTAATGCATGGGGCCAGGCTGGGGCCTTTTCTTTTCCAGGATCACTCCAGGTCCCTAATCGCAGTCATCTTACTGGGATGGTGGGAATCCTGGGCTGGATTTGGCTGCTGCTGCTCTAGTCCCAGGCAGGACCTGAAGAGAGTGATGGGAAGGTGGGACAGCAGGGGAGGGCAGGGTTGAGGGGGTGCACAACGGCCTCCCAGTTCCTTCTGAAGGAAGGAAGGGGGGAAAGCAGCTTCACACTGTGGGTGTTGGTGCTCAGCCCCTCCACAACGCTTCAGTCCTCCCTCCCAGGATGTGGCCAGGGAAAAAGTGGTGGGGGCAAGACAGATTTGTGTTTTCTCTGGGGTCTGCTGTGACGCCTCAGTGCTTCTCCAACAGCGCCATCAATATTTAATGGGGTAGAGCCATAGTAGTCCAGCTCAGGCTGACCACAGTCCCCAGCCTGGCTGGGATGGAGGGGGTGCAGGTAGATCTGCTGAACTGGGAGATCCTCCCCCCAGGTCCTCTGAGCCACACACTGCAAAGAACTGCTCTGTGGCCAGGGCAGAGCCTTGTACCCTCTGCCCAGATGCTGAGAACAAGCACCAAACTGGCTCCAGGCACCTCAAAACACTTTCACAGTGAGACCAGGCAGGATACCCCAGCCTGGATGTGGGAACCATGAGAAACGCTCCTCCTTACCCCACCAGCTTCCAGTTTTAACCCACGGAAGAGCTGCACCAAAAGGGACTGCAGCTCTAGCAAGAGCAAAGTGGGAATCAGCAGGCATAGAGCACCCCAGCCCTGTTTGCTGGTGGGGGGAAGCAGGAAGGAGAGCTGCAGAGCTGGGGCCTCCCTCTCTCCAGTTAAAACCCCAAGCTCTGACCCACACAGGGACATCCAGCACCAGCAGCCTTACAATTCAGCATGGAGACAGAATGCTAATGAAGAGTCATGGAGAACCACCGCTCCAGCATTGGGGGCAGTGAGCAAAGGGTTAACACCCCACAGCAGCACTAAGCAGTGGTGGGAGCAAAGGGTTAATGCAGCCGGTGCAGGAAATGTTATCTGTCTCTTCTCTAAATATTATTTCCTCCCATGAAACCAGCTTTTCATCCTTGGCTAGAGGCAGCTCCTGCTGCTGGGAATCCAGCAAGAGCTTGTATCTGCTGCCGCACGCACCGCTGCTCCCAGCAAGCCGCCGAGACAAAGCGCCGCGCTCCCCTGGCGAGAGCAGCCCCAGCGCTGGGACCAGGCAGCAGCAACACAGAGATGCTGGGGCTGGAGCTTCAGCCCAGAGGATGCAGATGGTCTCGGGATGGAGTTTGAGTATCACAGGCTTTTTACCAAAGAGGAATCTCATTAATGAAAGCCCTCTCCCACCCTGCTGTACTGTGGAAGAATTTCCTCCCCACCTCCCAGGATGCAGAGCAGCAGGCAGAGGTGCTTGGACAGGCTGGGTCAGGCCTGGGCAGGCTCAGCCCAGCAACAGCAGGCTGCACAACCCTGGCTATCTCCCCAAGAAGGTTTTTCAGGGGCTGCCATTTCACACCCCACCCCTTGCGTGTGCCAGGGTAGAAAAGAACAGCGGGATGCTCTGTGGGGAAACACAGGCAGCAGTCACTGGCTCCAAGGTCACAACCTGCGAAAGAGGGAGGGTGCAGGGCAGCCCTTGCCCCTTCTCCAGAAGCCGAAACCAAATTCAGGCTGCAGTACAGGTCTGGTTGTCTGTAGAGTTCGTGGCTGGGATAAAATGGCTGCTGCTAAATCTTCTCTGCAATGTCCTAAACTTAATGTGTATGAAACCACAGCAGCATCCTTTTCGCACCCCAGAGGGCACAAAGGCACAAGCACCTTCTCTCTCCCATTCAGCCAGAGCCACATGCTGCAGTCTGAACAGGTACGTGGCTGGAATGAAAGCTGCCTTTCCAGCTTGTGTGCTCAGACAGCATTTGCCAAAGTCAAAGGATTGCCAAGTTAAAAGGGTCAAACCTCCAAGGACAGCTGTATCTGACTGGCTATACATCATTTCAATAGTGTCTTCAACAGGGATTATAATCTGAACTGAAGCGGAAAGACCCAAGGCAATGAAGCTGTCAGCAGTCTAAGATTAAGGAATTAAAACAGCAGCACAGCATTACAGGATTTGTTCTATATGTATTAGAAAGAGCAGGCTAAACACACTGCAGCCTTCCTCGGGTCAGAAATTTCACAGGAGCACAGAGAAGGACAAGAGCATGGATCTCATCAATATACATAAAAAGAGAGAGGAGAGCAAGACAGAGCTACGAAAACCTAGCCACACAAAATATAAATCCTAACTTTAGATAGAAATGAGTCACACAAGGTTTGACTGAGGTAAATAAAAGCAGAAATGAAGTGGATTTAGGGGAGGGCAGAGGTAAGAAGACACTGATAGCCAGCAGACAGGAAAAAAATGGCCCTTAATATACTAAGGCTGGTAAAATCTGGAACACAGCCCAGCCTGCTCTTGGATTGCCTAATGGAAATGCAGGTCCCCAGTCCTGTCCTCCCTTGCCCTTCCCGTGTTCTTACACCCATCTCCAGAATTACTTGAAAAAGCCAAGAATGGCAGCAACTGCCTGCATAGCGCAGCTGGTAGCTGAGCCGAGAAGGGGAGACAAGCCTTGCCTTTGCCTCCATCGAGGTCCCCCGAAGGCCATCAACAGCTCTGCACAGCTTGGGAGGTATCAGCAGCTCTTCTTGGTGGGAAGCAGAAGCTCTCAAAACAAAGAAGGAATCAAACTCCCACCAAAGGACCCATTAAAACAATCCATTTATTTCTGGCAAATCACACACGCACCTTTCTTTCATTTGCTCTATCCTAGATCAGTTGTGGGGAGGAATTTCTCCCCTGCCTTAAAGATATCAAAGTTATGGGACAAAACACAAAGAAAAGCAGGGAAGTACCCCTTGCAGATAAAATACACAGGAAAATTTTGGCAACCCAGACTCCATGCAGCCACCAGCTCTGCTCAGCACAAGCCATAAAGATGCAGGTTGTACCGCTTAACACCGCTCGCTGTGGCACGTTTCCTTCAGTTACATGATCCAAAAAGAAATTGAGTCACTCCCTGCGTCTCACACACACAGCCTGGTTGACAACTAGAACAATTAGGGCCTGGAACAACAATGCCTGGTTGACAACTAGATTAATCCTAAACCAGGCCATCTGTACAGAACTGTTGCGCTTTATTGACACAAAAACATACCCAAGCAGAACACTTCCCTGCACACACAAGGCCATAGAGCAGTGATGAGCAGCCAGATCTAGGACAGAGAAAGGAGATGGGAAGCTAATGACAGGCGGAGCTTGTTCTGCAGCACAGGTAGCGCATGGAATCACTTTTCGACTGCTCCAGCCAACTTCTACTGGGAGATTTACATACAAGTCTTCAATCAAGTCTTTTAAGAGATATCCAGAGTCCCCTGGGTAAAAACAATCTGTTTCAGGAAAGAGTCCAGAGCTGCTCAGTGATTCTTTTTGGTTGAACCGAAACCAGAGAAACCCATCACAGCTGCCATTTCATCGTCCTCTTCAAATGTCAAATCTTCCTCCGCCCGCCTTTTCTTCTCTCTCTGCTTCTCCTTCTTGTAGGCTTTGGCCTTCTCCTCCTGCAGCAAGGGACAGAACAGCAAAATAATTTGAACTTCCCGAGCTGAGTAAGCTTTTGAGACACTGGGCACTGCGCAGTTAACCCAAGTCCTACCAACAGAACTGAAGTTGTGTCTGAGGAAATAAAATAGCCAGCAGAAATCCTGGACTGCAGTCTCCCAGGAGGAGATTTCACACTGTCTCCAGACCACTGCACCTACCACCCCAAGAGCAGAGTTACACTGAGGATGTAGCCAAAAGGAAATGTTATGAAACTCTCTCTTCCAAACAAACATCAGAAGTTTTGTCTGAAATCAGTGCTGAGGCAAGAAGGAGCTGTTTTTAAAGCAGGAGGCGTTTCCGTCATAGGATGCCCTGTTCCAGTGACTGTGATGCTGAATGTTGCTGCCTGTTGGCTTTCAGCCTGGCAGAATGACAGGTGCTCACTGGAACAGAAGCTGAAGCTCTGAATGGCTTTGGGGGGTTTTGACACCAAAGAGTTCGCACTGCTCTAATCAAAGTGTTTTGCTCTGCAAGGATCACAAGCCCTGGAACAGTGCCAGGCTTGTACCAGGCAATGCAGAAGCATGGCTTTGGCTCCCAACTTAGCAACTCCTGCCATTCTCATCACCGTCTGCTGCACCACAGCTACTGAAGACAGCCGTGCCCTGGAGAAAGCTACACCAAAAGTTGCTGCTGATTTCTTTGTTGCCATACATTGACTGGCAGCAGCTTTTTAACCCACAGCACTTCCTGCACTGCTGGGGCACCTGTCTCCCCCCTCCCCCAAACAGATGAGGCTCAGCGGCACCAAAGCCTGCTTGAGAGCACAGCACAGGGCTGCTCTGTGTGCACCACGACAGAGCACCCCTGCGGTGAAGCAAAGGTCAGGGCTTGGGCAAGGAGGCTCAAATGGGCAGTGATTTTTAACACTTGGTGGTTATGTGACTGCTGATGGAGGAAAAGCATCCATAGAAGCTCCTCAACTGTCAGAACTTTGTCAGGTTTTCAAGTAAACTTGATCTTCATGTCAGGGAGCTGACACCTAAGCCCAGGTTTGAGAGGAGTCTGCTGTCCTTCACTGCCTCCACGCACATCTCACACCACAGCACACCGCTCACAAAGCCCTTTCACACTCAGGGAGGCCACACAGAAGCAATATGCCACGTGAAGAAGGATCCAGCAATCCTAAGAACCATGGAAGATAAGGGACAAAGACACAGATCTGCTTATCAGAGCACAGAAGTTCAAACACAACTAATGGGAGACAAAAAACAGATGCACTGTCAGGCCTGTGCTGCTCTCAGCGGAAACCTGAAGCACCAAAAGTTATCCTCACACAGAAAGAGGGGAAACGGGTTTCCAGGGACAGCAGCAGCAAACTTTTTAAGAAGCAAAAAAAAAAAAAAGAAACAAAACCCACTCACAGCAGCAGCAGAGAATCCCATGCTACCAAGAACAAGGCTTCTGTGGAACAAGATTAGGAACCAGGGTTGACTTCCTCACAAGCATGTTTCCGGGAGGCTTTGCTTTGTCAGTCGTTGCCCAGACTCACCTCCTCACGGAGTTCCTTCATCCTCTCCTCAAAGTCATAGTCCTTCTGCTTCTCCTCCATCTTCTTCTTGTTCACCTCAAAGCGTTTCTTCACCTGGTCCAGTGTGGAGCGCTCCACCCGCATGGACATGCCCAGATTTCTCTGGTCTAGAAAACAGGAGTGGAATCAACTGTGTTCAGCAACACTCGTAGCCTTTGATGATCTGCACATAGCCCCCGTCTCTGAACCCAATTTAAATATCTGAGCACAGCAGCCTCTTCCTGCCTGTCATCCATCCTCTCAAGGCAGCTTCCGGGGCCAAACTACACTCATGCACAAGGCCATATGCCCTCAAGGCTCAGTGCTCCAACCTGACCTAACCGCACTGACTCGCAGGCCACCCACCACTTGAAGCACTGAGTGGCAGAGCCTGGCATGGCACTGTACCACTGCCCAGGTAACCCAGAGGCAGCTTGGGGAGTGTGATGCAGCAGTGCCTCCTCCCCCAGAGAGGCATGCACTTTCTGTCCTCATCTGGTCCCATATTCGTATGTGGATTGGGATTTCTCATGTCAGAGGGGATGGGCTTTAAGGGGACACCATAATGTAAACCAGGCAGTGACTACAATGACCCATACATTACTTGTAACGAGAAGGAGGATGCAGCCTATTCTTTTAAGGTTCCCTATTAGGATGCTCCTCATCATGTTGATGTTCTGACACTTCAGGAAATTTAATCTTGGACCAGTGGAAAAAAAAGGTTGGAGTGTTGAAAAAGAGGCCAGAATAAAACTGGCAAGCTGGCGTCTCAGCTGTGGGAGAAGCTAAACAAGACATCAGTGGCTCTCAGTAAGAGTTCCTGCTTGCACAGGGCATTTCTAGCTAAAGCGGAGACATGAAATATTAAACCAGGCCTCTGCTTCAGTGGCTGCTTAGAGCAGATTCCCAAGTTTCTGCTCATGAGTAAGCCTAGGTTGAAGGGGCCACCCCCCTGCAATATTTCCAACCCACATTGCCTGGTGGACTCAAACAGCCTGTTGACTCCAGCAGCCATGCGCAGGTTTGTCCCAGGATGCAGCAGCACTTGGAAGGTCAAACTACACACCAGAAAGTAGTAAGAGGGCTGCCAAGAACACGCAGGTTTCAGCCAGATTCATGGACTGGATCAAAAGCTCCCAAACTTACTCTGTAAATCATATCGTAACAAAGAGCTATGCACCAGCCACTTTCCAACCCCAGCTCAACCCCTTCATCTCAGGCCCATGCACAAAGTCATGCCAGGATTTTTGATTCCAGATTCTCTCATATAAACTTATTGCTAATCTCCCAACATGTCAAACAAAACAATTCAGCATCCTCCTTCCATTCACGTAAAACCACAGGGCTTTAACATGTTGGGTTTTCTTTTCCTAGCTACAGAAAACTGGCCCTCAGGTCCTTTTCTGAACCCATGATTTCTCAATGGTGCAGGTCTGGATTGCATACATCACTGCCTTTTTGTAAAGGGGCCATTTGTTGACTTCCACAGGGAGCCAAAATCACCTTAAGGAGCAGAACATCATGGCAAGAGTGTGTCAGTGCATCCTGCTGCTCCTTTACTTTCTCCACTTTCCCCACTCTCTGAACATGTCAAGGAGAAGCAATGCCCACAGTCATGAAATGAGAGTCAGTTCAACAAGGGGTACAGTCCTCTTTTTCAAGTTAAACACAGTAAGGGAACAGACTGATAAACTGGGAATTCTTTTCTCTTGTCTTTATCTTGGCCTAAGTTAACTGCTCATTACAGCAATGGAGAGACGAACCAGAGATATGTACAGGACAGTAACACCACACTGCTGGACCCAACTTCGGGGTCATCCTGCCTTACGTTTTTTGCCATTGATGTGATCCAAGAAGTTAATGGAGTCTTTCACCACACAGTCGCATACATTACAGTAATACCTGGCAGGAGAGAGAGAAAACATTAATGCCAAAGCATGAGACAAACCTCATCTTGCAGAACAACTATTTGAGATAATCTAAAATGTGAAATCTGCATGCCACTTGGGATATGGCTCCTTTCTTCAGGGCAAGAGGGAAGCTACTTCCATTACAGAGAGCCCCAGTGAAAAGAAACGTGCAAAGGCACACCCCAGATTGACAGAGCTGCCCAGGTTAACACTGGAGGTACCAACCCTTATGCCAATAACCACTCTGACAGACAACAGAAACCAAGACATGAGCTGATCCATAACTATGTCAGTCACGGCATCTTCCCCTTCCAGTCACAACCAACAGGGTGGGATGGACTGTGTAACACCACAGGGCTCAGCTGCCCTCCTCCAAGGCAGGGCTTGCCACACAGCCCAGGTGCTGAAGGTGCTCACCTGGCTGTAAGGTAAGTCCTCCCATCCCTATCGCCTCACAGCAGCAACTCCCTGCTTTATACAGCAGTGCTTTCTGCCCATCTTAAGAGCTGTTGCAAAAACCCAGCCAGGGCCTGCACTTGCATCCCTGGATGCTGTTCAGGGCTGCACATCTCCCTGGCACTGCTGGCTGTTAGGCTACGACAGTGAAACACTAACAGGCTTACTCTTGAGATGGCACAAACTCTATGCATTCTTTTCAAGCTCTTGACAGCTTAGGGTAAGCTAAGAACCCTTTCAGCCTTTGGCCAAACACAATCCACACAAACAGTGCCCAAACACCAGTCCTAAGGACAGGTATCTGTATGTTTCTCCCATTCCCAGTGCACAGATATCCAAATCAACAGCAGATAGGGTCTCACTGCAAGCAGGCCTCCTGGCTAACAAAACCCAAGCAGCAGCAGAGATCTGCCTCAGTTGTCTCTACAAGCGGGCAAAGCAACACTGATATCAAGTAATAATGTCCAAAGGGGCTCAGCCTGCTGCATCTCTTCCATACATTAGCCCAGAAGACACTGTTTAGGTGTAATACAGCGTGGCACCATTGCACCAGGCTCAATACACAGGAGGAAATCACCGTCTGGTGCACCACACAGGCTCACTACTGTATCACAGCCCCCTGGTCTCACCAGCACAACTCTGAGACTCCAACAAAAAGACCACGACCTACCCTCCCATCTCTGACTGAGGGGTAGTTTTGGTGATGACGATGGTTTTCCCCAGCTTCGATTCCAGGTCCACTTTGTAGTCTCGGTGCCGAAGAAGTTCCCTTTTGACGGGCTGAGCTGGTTTGCCTAAAACATAAGCAAAACCCCAAAGTGTTTACCAAAAAAGGCCAAGCTCGACACACTTGATTTCACGTTGCCTTTGATGAAGGGGGGCTACCGGGAACCTGGGAACTATGTGATTCATGCAGGAATGGCTTTTTTTTTTTTTTTTTTTAAATCAGTAAAGAATATAATTTCCTCCTCACTATTTCCTGGTTCCTATTAGAACCACATAGATCTGTGAGGTATCTCCAGCTCTGATGTGGGTCATACTCTGAGATCTCCTTGTTTCCAGGAGCTGATTGTTCCTCTCCCACCCCAAAGAACATGCAGACAAAGGCAAAGGTTCTCAGTAATTACTTTTGTCAAAAAAATATGTTCAGTGGCAAGCACAGGAAAAAGGATCAGAGCAAGCCAGCTTTGAATTGCTGCTATTTCCCTCTGGGATTTCACTTCTAGCTGCTCTCTCCCTCTCAGACCCAAAGGGTTTGGGTGACTCACTGCCAAATGAGCAAAGCTTGCCTGGAGTCAGTACACTACGCACCATCTTTCTTTTCTCTCTCTTCTGTGAGCCGCTTCTCTGCAAGTTTCTCATATTCATCTTTGTCCCACTTTCGGCGGAAGTCGAAGTTCTTAGTCTGAGAAGGAAATAAAGTATATTAACATTTTTATACAGTTTGACTAGCTCTGAGGGGAGACTCAGGAAAGAGGTGGAATCACTTGGCCTGTGAGGGCACAGCAGTAACTTAGCGGCACTACGTTATATCCCCATGTCCTCTGTTTTCATATCTAGGAATTAAGAATGTAGCTTAAGAGAATAACACTCATCATGCCTATATCTACTTCTTCTAGAAGGATTTCAAAGCACTGAGAAAAGTAACAAGTTTCTCTTAATAGCTCCTGAGATGATCACCCAGGCTTTCGCTCTGAAAAACAGACACAAATGGGATTTAAACCCATTGATCTAAGACTTTAGAAGTGCCACCTCACAAACACAGTACAGTCGTTAGCAGGTTACACATACCTCTTCCAAAAGTCAATTAAGCCCAAGATGCAAATATCAGATGAGGAAGCCGTGAAACACAACACGAGCTATAAAGAGTTTGAGTAAAATGCAGGAGTACAGAAGGCTGTGTACACCTGCTCTCAAAGAGACCAGCAGTATGTCTATGCATTACAGGAATCAAAGCGCTGAGTTTACTACGAAATCATAGGAACCAGTATGAGTTTTTCAAGTGAGACACGCATACAAGCAAACCAGAAAAAACTCTGCAACCTCATCTGTTGAAGCACAGCATGGAGATACCAGGGAAGCACCTGTGTGAAACGCACAGTAAGCTGTCCTGCTCCTGCAGCTTCATGCTGCAGACACACGGGGAAGGGAAGAAACATGTCTGAGGCAGACTGGCCTTTCAGCAGCTCCTCAGAGCACTCTACACTGGCAATGACAGGATAAGTTGTGTGAAGAGAAGCTGAATTCAGGTGAAGCTGGCACTGAAGAATACAAAGACTATTCTTTTCAGGGGGGATTTTTACCTAGGCACCAACCCTGAGGGCAGAAGTGACTGGACAAGAATCCTTCTTCCATTCACCTCTACTCTCACCAGACCAGCACAGCCTCTTCCTAGTGTCTGCCCTGTCTGCAGTTAAGGCTCCTGCACCTGGTATCAGTCATGGCTTATAACTCAGACACTTCGTTACTTTCTTGAGAAGATACTCTTGTTTGGTTAGAAAGCTGCATTTCACTTGGCACAGCAGTGAGAGGCTCTCAGTTTCGTATTAAAAAAAGGACAGATTTATTTTAAAACACCTCTGTGAAAGAAGCACCCCTCCACACCCCATCGCCTTCTCTGTTCAGCCAAATCAAGAATCCAATCACAATCCAAAGGAAATAAATCCCGTTTGAAGCTATAGCAGCAGCATCACAGCCATTTAACATTTTCTCCTCTGGCAATCCTTCAGATGGAACGAACAACTACTGATAGGAATGAAAATGCCTTAGGGAAGCGTAGAAAAATTCTCATTTATTCCCAGAGCTTCTTAAGCACTTTAAGCATGTCATAACAGGTTTTATTAACCACCCTGAGCAAAAGAAAAGAAAATATCATGGAGTGTAAATTAACGTTTGGGGGTATTTTCCAGAATCTAGACTCTCCTGCATACCAGCGCATTATCATAAATCATAGCTGGTGGGAGCCCAGGGAGGAGGTGATTTACTTGCTGCTTCACTCTTCTGTTGTAATAAAAGGGATAAAGTCGTTTGCATGT